CACACAGACAACCCCGTGACAATATGCGTTTTGTACTGCTGTTACACAGCATAAAACGCATAAAAACGAATTGGCTCGTTTACCTAACTATTTCACTTAATGGCTTCATTATTGTCAAGCCAGTTAACTGCGATGATAGATAAATGAGGTAGATTATGCAGTACAATTTGGGGGTAGGGCCCGAGAACATTACCTCCATCGTATGCGTTTTGCCCGATGATGTTTGACCGTAAGCAAACACGGTTCCGTTATAACCGGAAAGGACGTCCTGTACAATGTGATAGGCGGCGCCCATATAAACATCTTCCTGCGTTGAATTTGGCTTGAATACTTTATCGAACACATAAACTTTACCCTGAAACTCCGAGAGCATTTAAAATCAACTGCAAAACTTCCCGGGGGAACTAGAAATTCAAAACTTTTACCATCAGCCCTACATAAGGCAACAAACATGTCAAAATTCAAAACCCTCTTCGTAATTTACTTTTCCTGAGAGAGCTGGAGCGGCCTGGAAGTGGCCTGAGTCACACTACCACCATTCTCCCTTTCCTAACGGTACGATTTACGTTGACGAAGATGTAAGGGCAATCATAAAATCAGATGATGAGATTCGCTAACAGCCACTGCAAATTCCTTGCTTACGCAAAATGAGTATTTTTTTAGAGAACCTCCACAAGAACAATGCTGAAGATCCATGGATTTTGAATATTTCTAACGATAACAAGGATTGTTTGATCGCGAGAAATCGAGATACGAGCAGTTCATCATTCATATTTCGAAGCTCAAACGTATCACTTTTTCAACGACGATGATTCTTTTCGAGACGAGTTTCTGGCTATTTAAAAATATACTATACAAATGACAGGTTTCAGAAGCACCAACCGCAACTGAGATCGCCTCTTGTGAATCGGACGGAAATTTCGGCACAAATTTCGAATCGCCTTTTTCTTCCATGCTATTCAGCGGGCGGATGCGGCAAAACACCTGTAATGAAAGCCTCGCTTAGAAGCAATTTTATGTTTCGGGTACAAATATCAGTGGTACAAGCAGCATTCTTCTCACCCCATAAGATGCAGCTTCGGTCCAGCCGGTCATAGCAGCGTTACTAGCATGTGCGAGAATGCGCCAGGATGAAGCCATATCTGATCAGCCTAGCCAAACGAGTGCAATTCAAACTCAAAAGCCTCCTTTGTACTCGATCTCACTGAGAGGGAGAGGCACTGAGGTCTAGGTGCTAGCAAATGTCAGATGCAACCACTCGCTGGCAAAGATGTCGATGGCTTCTTCTTTCGAAGGTTGCTTACAAGCAAACTGATGGTGGGTTTGAGTAAAGCAAATGTGAGTTTATAAGAACTTTTCCCGTGCAATCTTATCAGCATATAACATTTTTACTGCTCGCAGTACGCAGTAAACGACCTTTATTCAAAGACTGTCGAAATATGCCCCGCCCTCTCAACCCCTCCGTGGCCCCCTCTTTCCCCGTTGTCGCTGATTTCCCTTTAGTGGGTTAGCCAACATTCCCAAAGAAGTAGTGATGCTCAACACACACCAAGGAGATCTTGAAACGGCTAAAGAAATGCCACGAGAACCGCTGAGCTGGTGTTCCAATAAGACGAAGTAACCAAATTTATGAATGACTGCTAATTTAAATATTAAAATAAGCATAACAGCTTACGCAAAAAGCTAATGCAAGGGATGAGCCACAAACCTGTATGCCGCATTCGGCAGGATTTGGCACCGGATTCGCCATTCTCTCTCCTGAGGTCTTTCGAGGGCCAATCAGTCGGAAAAATTAACACGACGTTGGCCTACCTCAAAAGGCCTGAAATATTTTTTAATTTCTTCCCTTCTTTTCTTACTAATTATACACGAAAAACGCATCCCCTGCTTCTCCCAAACATCTAAAATACCTGAACTAACCTGAAATTGGGAGGACGGGCTTATTTTAATCATCCCCAGCGTGAAAAATGCAAATTTTCGAGCAAAAAAAACCACTATACCGCGCTGTAGATTCGGAAAAAAACAGAGCTAGCATCGAATATTCGACAATGCACCGCGGAACAATGCTCTCACGTCGGAAAAATACCTAGCAACAAGCGAACAAACAATAATAATCGCCTATCTTCAGGAAGCACTATTATGCTGGGCAACCAGGAAGCGCGCGCGATCTTTTCCCGCACAATTATTGACCAATGTGTCATAAAAACATGGTGGCGCCAAACGCTTGTGACTAACACCAAAAGAGATCAAAAAGAACACAAAGAACAAAATAAT